AAACAATAATTATCTCTCTCTCTCTCTGTGTGTGTGTGCAGGGGCGCAACTGCACATTTGCTGAGGGGTATGCAAGATCAGTGTTGGCGCCCCCCTGTATTCTAGCCCCTAACACTAACTCCCACAAAAAAACTTTCTCCAAGTCAATGACCAAAAGCCCATTAACTAGCTTGTGCATGGAAGGATACAAACTCATTAGGAGTGAAAAAAGTGACAAAGGTTCGAACCCCCTCCCCCATTTTCAATACCATAGGGAAAAAAAAGTGTGTTGTATAACATCCCCTTTAACTCCAGATGGTTGATCCCAGACAGCAGAACAATTCTGTTTAATTTTTTTTCTTTTTCAAACACATGTAATATTGCTCACTTTAGAAAAATGTCTGACCTCATTATTGAGGATACAGTAGATCAGGAAGATGAAGGTTCCCTGCTGGGAGTTCAAGATCAGGAAGAGGATCTCCAGCACCTTACTGCCATTAGTGAAGAAACACACAATCATGTTTAACTGAAAAGCAGAAGAATAATGTATCACCTTGTTTTCTTTTTTATTTAAATAAAAGTCATGAGAAACAAATGTGTTTACTATATGATGGAGGAATGAATTTGTCAGAAATACTATTTCAGGTATTGACAGGAGAAATATTACAGATGTAATCTTGTGCGTGACGCTGATACAGACTGTGTCAAGGCTGCATTTTTTAAAAATCTGATAGCAGACATGTCACAAAATCCCCGAGCTGCTTTTCTCTCTTCTATTCAAATTAACCTGAAACACAAACAAACAACTCACTGTTTACCACTGTAGCCTATAGGTACCAGCAGGTGCGGCTCATCTGTAAGGGCAGGTGCAGGGCAGAGCCCCAGCAAAATATTCACCCAAAACACAGACCTCTATATAAACTGAATAAATAATAAATCGTAAATGTGTTCAGCATTCTGCAACAAATATTTTTTCCGATTTTCTTGACAATTAAGTGTCAAGAACATTTTAAGACATTAAGTGTGCATGATATTAAAATTCATCGCAAGCTTCCACAGGCACGTAAAATGATACTAAGTGGGGCAGTCGTGCCCAATACTCAATACAGTTTTGAGACTGCCCCGCTTATTTTCACGTTATTCTCGCTCCAGACCAAATCAACATTCGGAGACAATATTAAGACAATAATTATCTCTCTCTCTCTGTGTGTGTGTGCAGGGGCGCAACTGCACATTTGATGAGGGGTATGCAAGATCAGTGTTGGCGCCCCCCTTGTATAACATCCCCTTTAACTCCAGATGGTTGATCCCAGACAGCAGAACAATTCTGTTTAATTTTTTTTCTTTTTCAAACACATGTAATATTGCTCACTTTTTAGTTAGGTAATTTCGGAGGGATTTACACTATTTTTATTGTTATTATTATTCATTTGCCTCAAAGTTATTCATATTTTTGTAAATGTTTTTATATAAAATGAGAACACTATGTAAAATTCACTTTAAAGAACATCTGCATTAATTCATGTTTACTTATTAAGATAATTCATGGAAAATTTGCCTTGCTTAAGTGGAAGATTTCTGCCACCTGGTAGAAAAACAAATACTATTAAAATGAATGTCATGGTATTCCCACTATGGCCACTAGATGGGAGCAGAGGATCATTCATTATCTCATTTACCATTTCCACTCCGTAATATAGCTCTTTTCACATGTTTTGCTTTTGGATTTATATTTAGAAATTTTAAAATCACTATTATAACAATTAAAAATAACTTTTTTGTCAAAGTTCAACATTGTTTTGTACTGAAATATGAAATAGCAAGTTTTCAACTCGAATCACACAAATGACCTATTTTAAATTTAAAATGGCAATTTTTGGCGAAAGGTGGCTAGTTTGTATCCTTGTTAAAAAACTTCTAATTTTCTCTCAAATGTAAATCAAACGCCTATTCACAAACATATCGTGACTTCACTTTTTGAGCAATAGAGATACGCAGAAATTAACTGATATTAACGTTAATCACTTATTTGCCCTCTGTTGGGCAACAACGTAAAATGTTGAATGACTGCATGAATTACAATGAATAAAATAAATAGATAATAGCTTGCTAATTTATATTAGTTCACTTGTACATTGCTGTATTTTAATGCATTGTTTTTTCCCCCCTTTGTCTTTTCTGTTCTGCGCCCCTGAGCGTTTCTCTCCTCTATTCATGTTGGTCATGTGACTCTGTCTGTGACGGTAATGTGTCGAAGGGTGAGTGGTTGACATGTACTCCGTTTATAATAAATACATTTTTGAACTTATTAAAAATGCTAAAAACCATTGAATAAAAATGTTTCATTACATTATTTTTAACAACTAAGCGTTTGATTATTTATAATAATCAAACTTATATTTATAATAAGTTTTATTAAAGAAGATTTTCACACAATGATTTCGGCAAAATTGCGCTCCCCTCCATGCGGCGCCCCTATGCACTGCATATACTGCATACCCCGTTTTTGACTCGACTAAATCAAATGAAAAAAACATTGCAAATGTATATTTTCATGCTTTCTCAAGCAAACATGTTTGAAAGTGCACTGAAAACGAATCTTCTTACATTTTTGGTCATGGACAATGTATTTTGAAGATATAGGTTATTTGGCAAGGCAAAAGAGAAGTACAAAACTTCCAGTTTTCCAGGAAAGCTGAAGTCAAAGCAGTGTCGCTTACAGTTAAAGTCCTTCTCTGATTTTATTGTTGTTTGCAATGTTGCAACATTTTACTTGGCAATGTTTTAAAAATATAAAAAATATTTTTGGTATTTTGCATGGTCTGTTGTTGGAGTATCATCACCCGGGTGAGAGATTTTACTCCTATAAAAAAAAAAGAAAAATCATTCAGCAGATGCAGAGACATAGACCGGAGGAATCCCCCATCTGCACCCCCTGGCTGAATAATGCGTATCATTACGTAACAACGTTATTAAACGTTATTTGGCGGTTTTTACTTGTTTTTCTAGCATTCAAATAACAATGGATAAACCTGAAACTATAGAAGAAGGATTGGAGATGAATTTCATTTACAAACAAGGTAGGAAATGTGCATACTTTTAAATCGACACCTGCCACTGTGTTTCTTATGTGCCACCTGTGATCTCTCTTTGAGTGTGCCCTAAAAGCTGATGAGGAGGGGAAATCTTATAATCTTAGCACTCAGAATACCCGGTTAAAAAAGTCACCGCTCGCCACTGTTTTTTTGTTTTGTTTTTTGTAACAAAATTACTGACCTGTTAAGGGCTTCAAATGCAGGTCAGTTTCATCTGTAAATGGCTAGTTTTGTCATTGTTAACTATTAAACTTCTATCAACTGTTAGGCTATCAGTAGCACCCCACTATTATCATAAGTCAGAATACTGTATGCTAAAGGACATCATTATTATCTACTGTAAAATTACATTAATAAATGTATATAATATATATTATATTTAATAATTCCATTCTCACTCGGTCTGCAATACGGAACGCGCTGATGATGTAGGCTATCATGTCTGCTGAGGTGCTACTGTTTTTCAAACCAGATCTTTAGGACTGACTGTTAAGTTTCAAACAATATTTATCTGGTGCAATATAGTAGACTTAACCATCATAATGATGCCATGAGAGTTTTCATATACGGATTTTTGTACTAATGGTGATCGGCACAGACGCAGCGGGCAACACGTAGCCTGCTGGCATGTGAGGAAAAATATGAACTCACTGATTTATTGTGAAAATATACATTACAGAAGTATTCCGTTGTTAGTTTTCTCCACTCTTCCATTCGAAAAACTGCGTCAACCTGCCTCATTTACACCCAAACTTATATATTTTGTGTTGTGTGTATAAAATATAAAATATACAGATATGTATGAAAACATATCAGTGTAATTTATGTGTAATATATCTACTAATATGTAATCCATATATCTATTTGACATGAAATATGAATAAAATATAAATATGATCTTATTATATTACTTGTAGCCTATCTTAAATATTACTGTAATTTTCATTACAACAAAATTTGTTCATTACAACAAAGAAAATACTCAACCTAGACTGCAACAATAGAGCCGGGCCAAATATTAATTTATATTATTATTAATCCTGAACTTCTAAACATCTATCAAAAGTTTTATGTCCACCATCACATACCGTAAAGTCTTAGAAAGCATTTTAGTACCGTCGTTACCATTTAGAGACACAATGTGGCACCATTTAACTGTTTTCTAACTTGCTTTTGCTTGTTGAAAGAGAGAAACAGTTTAGGTTTGTGTTCATAGTTTCAGGAAATCTTCTTCTGGAATTGGTGAACATTGTCACTGATAACTGTTGAGTTTGGCTTGCGGAGAATAATGGAAAGGTAATGTTGTTGGAAACGATTGTGCATGACCTTTAGATCAAACGTTTATTAACTTTAAATAAAAAAATAAATAACATTTATATATGCACGATAAGCTATAAATGTACATAAAATACACCTAAATTTCCATTAAGAAAATGATTAATAATTTTAACCAAAGCTTAGTCAATTGTCATATATTTAATTCCCAGTCAGTACTCAAAATACGCAATACAATTTTTCTAAATCAAAACAGGAAAAGTACTTACATTTAAAAACAATGAAAACCATTGTGGAATCTGACAGTTCACGGTGTTTGATATTTGTTCAACAAACTAGATCAAGCATTGATTTTCTGAAATCAAGAGACATAGCAAGAATTAGCGAGAGCGGGGAATGTAGTAGCATGTCATGAGTGTGTAACACTGTCAGTTTCATCAAAATGAGTTACAGCTTACAGGGGTTGAATTTTCGATCGTACTCTACCTAACCAGCTGAGGTGACAGAAGCAGTTAAGTCTGTTTGTTGCTTCCCGTTTATTAAAATTATTTGAGCCAACCATTCCCATGTTTGGGTTTCCCACCAGAAATTCAACACAGACTGAAAACTGCTCCTGGATTAGAATATTTACACATTTGCCTCATTTGTGGGAGTGATTAAAACAGTTACTTGCTTTTGTGAGCACACATTTTTGAAAAATTGATAGTAAATTTCACAAAGTAAGCAGTAACACATTGAATTCAATTATTTCTTATCTCACTGTTCTGTCTGTAAACATTTTAACCATCTCTTGCAACACCGAACAGCCCTCTGATTTTGTAAATGCCCTTATTACAAATAAATCACACCTCGGGACACATGATAAAGTATATTTGTTATGAAAAGGCTAAGCGTTTATCCTCAGGAGGAATATCAGAGATTTAGATGACCTGAAAATCAAAGTTTTTCAATGTTTAGCCTAAATAACATGAAACGTGTACAGTATAACAACCAGCTACTGAAGACAAAACTGCAAAAATGGATGGATTGATTGATTGATTGATTGATTAATTGATAGTAACACTAAATAATTTAATTCTCATTTAAGCATGTAAAGATGGTCTCACCTGATATGACTTTACATGTCGTGATCTTCACCCAACTAGACTGA